GACGGCGGCCCGGACCTTGAACCCTTTGGCGCTGTCCAGGTCGACGTCCGCCGCCAGCTCCAAGGCGCTGCGGCTTGAACATGGCCTCCCACTCCAGGAGGAGCCGACGGAGTGGGTACCCAAGGGCCTCTTCTCCACTATCGACGGAGCCAACGCCGCCCGGTGGGCATGGATCCTGCTGGGCATCGGCGAGGAGACCGACGTCATGACATATGTCGACTGGTTCGTCGCCCGCGCCAGGGATAAGTCCAACCACGTCGCAGCCCTCCAGGCATACTGGCAGCGGACGTCGTGGAACCTGGCGATGGCACTCAGGAACAACCGGTCCTTCGGCGAGGCCACCAAGGAGATCATGGACGACGTGGCCACGTGGCAGGAGATCCTCCTGTCCACGCCGCACCCGACCAAGAGATCCGAGAAGGAGATCACCGACCGCACCGACGCCCCCAACGGCCAGGAAGAGGACGCCGACGACCAGCAGGCATGGACCGGAGGCGGCGGTCGCGGTGGCCGCAAACGACGACGCCAAGGGGGCCGGGGCCGAGGGCGCGGACGCGGCGGCAAAGATCAATCACAGGGCGGCGGCAAGAAGAACGAGCAGGACACCAACGCCAACTGGTGGCAGCAGAAGACCGACGGCAAGAACCAACAGTGGTGGCACGGCGGCAACGGCGGACAGTCCAGCCAGCCAGAAGGCCAACGCCCGTGGCGCGGCAATGGCCAAGGCCGCGGCAACCGCCGTTAGGGACAGCACGGGGCCCCGTCGAACGCCCCCGCTGACGACGGGGTACCCGACCCACCGGCCAAGAAAGTGAAGCTCTCAGGCCGGCGACCAAAAGGCGACGAGGTGATCGTGCTGTCGGCGTTCGACGGTGTCGGCGCGGGCCCGTGGCTGGTGTGGGACCTGGTGGGCCAGCCTAGAGCGGTCTTCTCATGGGAGGTGGACCGAGCGGCGATCCAGGTGATTGACTACCACATCCCCGACGTCCGGCACCGCGGCGACATCACGGAGGACACGCCGAAGGCCCTGGCCAAGGACATCGAGGCGGTCGACCCCGACGCCCAATGCATCATCCTGTTTCTCGCCGCCCCGCCGTGCCAAGATTTCTCCAGGATCGGCGACAGAGCGGGTCACGGCGGTGATAGAGGCTACCTCTTCAACTTTACGGCTGAGTACGTCGCCGAGCTGACGCCGCTGATCGCACCTCGACGGCTTGGGAAATTGGTCGAAAACGTCGAGATGACGCAGGCAGACGCGGCGGCGGCCACCAAGGCACTGGAGTGCGAGCCCATCCTCTCCGACGCCGCCGACTTCGGGTGGATCGGTAGGTCCCGCCTCTGGTGGTCGACGATCGACTGGGAGGAGCTGCCTCGCGACCCCTCGACGGGAGAACATTGGACATGGGCTCTACACCGTCGCTGGAACAGACTGCGGCTGGACTCTCCCAGGGCAGCAGCCGACGACTTCGACCTCGACGGCCTCAAGTTCTCGGACTCCGTCGCCAGTGGCAGGGTCAGGCTGCCATGTGCGACGACACCAGCAGCCGACGAGGGAGGCAGAGCCGCACCAAGGTCGACGAGAGGGAAGATCACGTCGGACACCCACCAGCGGTGGCTCACCGGCGGACGGCAATTTGCGCCGTGGCACTACGCCAGAGACGCCATGATGACCGACGACCAAGGTCGACTACATCTGCTGCCGCCGAAGGTGAAAGAGCAGCTTCACCACATGCCGGCCGACTACACGGCGAGATCCACCGCCGGAGCACTCGACGACCGCACTCGACATCGCCTCATCGGCAACGGCTGGCACTGGGGAGTCGCACGACGTCTTCTTTTGGCGCTGTTGGTCTTCACAGCCACGGCACCGACGACGGCGACCCCAGTACCAAGATCACCTAGCCTATCGACGTTACGGTGGGTGGCTTCGTTGTGGGGACCCGGCGGTCCGATCATGGCGCCAGCCCCGCCGCGGACAGGTGTGGCGTACATCCAGGACCTCGACGAGCAGGCGCACTGGGACGCATCATGGTCGATGTCACACCCGCTGGCAGACGACGCCCCACTGGAACCGGCGTGGGAACGACTCCTGGTTATTCGTCGAACTTGGCGCCACGACCTGGCCAGGATCAGAAGGGAAGTCGTCGACGAGGTCCGCACCATGATCGAGGACACAGCCGACGAGACCAGGGAGTGGCTGGCCGCCAGATCATCATGGGTCAGAGCTACGTACTCGACGCCGGATAAGCCGGCCCCGACGCAGGTGCTCGTCTTCCTACAGCTGCTCCGCCTCGTCGACTACCCCGACATCGACGCCCTCGAACACGACATGACGGAGGGCTTCCAGATGATCGGCGTCATCCGGCCAGGACCAGGATGGAGGAAAAGGGACGACGGACGCTACCAGCACCCGACGGACATGGACACCTTCCGCCGGACCAACGCCGAGTACGTCCGCCGCAAGGTTTCCCAGCACGACGGCGGTGAATTCGCCGATCAGCTGCTCCAGGAGCTCATCGCCGAGAAGAAGCTGGGCAGAGTCATCGGCCCAACAACAGCGCCGACATGGCTGCACACCAAGGCCACGGCGGTGCCCGACCAGATCGAGGTGGACTCCCTGGTTGAACCGCCGCCCGGCGAACACTTCTTGGCAGGGTCCTTTCCAGTCTGCCAGACCGACGAGAAAGGCGACCTAAAGGTACGACGTGCCGAGGACTGGCGTCGCAGCGGGCACAACGCCACGGTCTCGGTGGACGACGTGCCGACACACCACTTTATCGGCAGCTTCGTCGACCTGGCACGACGCATGGTCCAGGACACCCCCGACGTCGTGGTCTTTGGCAACGACCTGCTCAACGCTTACCGCCAGTGGCCGGTTCGACGACCGGCGGAGTGCGGCACCTTCCTCTCGACCAAGCACGGCGTGACCTTCTGGTACCACCTGGCCATGAATTTCGGCGCTACGGCGTCGGTCTGGAATTTTAACAGGGGAGCCGACGCCCTTCAGCAGCTACTCAGGGGACTGCTGCTACTGGCGACGGGTCACTACGTGGACGACTTTAACGGCCTCGACGACGCCCTCCTCGGCGAGTCGGCGATGGTATCGTTCCAGGACCTCTTCTCGGCGCTGGGCTTCCTCACCAAGGCGTCGAAGGCACAACACCCGGCGAAGAACCACATCGTGCAGGGCGTGGAGTTCCAGGTCGACGAACGGGGAGTCACCCTCAAACCGACGACGATTCGGGTAGACAAGATCATGGAACAGATCCGCCGGGCGCTCGACCAGGATACACTGTCGCCCGCCGAGGCTGCCAAGCTCGCCGGAAGAGTGTCCTTCTTGACACAAGCGGCCTTCGGTTCCGTCGCAAAGGCCGCGACGAAAGCGATCTACGCCCGTGCAGCCGACACAGCGGCATGGACGGCGGACTCCCTGTCCGACGGTCTCTCGGCGGCCCTACGATCCTTGGCCAGGATCTTGCCGACGATCCGACCCAGATTCATTCCGTTCGACGCCAAGGAGATGGAGGTCGCGATCCTGTACGCCGACGCCTTCTTCACCGACGGGGAGACCAGGCACAAGGCCGGCCACGTACCCCAGGGGGTACGGCCGACGAAGAAGGCGGCGAATGGATGGGGATATGTGCTACGCATCGGCGACCAGGTCTTCTTCGACCACGGCGTCGCGCCGGAATGGTTTGTCAAGCTCTTCTCGACGAGGAAGGCATACATCTACATGCTCGAAGTGCTGGCCCAGCTCGTCGCCTTCGTCACCTTCGGCGCCCGTCTGCCGCCGGCCATTGTCGCCTTCATCGACAACACCGCCGGACAGGCAGCCCTTACAAAGGGATACGGGAAAGACGCCGCGGTGAACGGCATGATTTCGGCCTTCTGGACGCTTGCGGCGCACCAGGGGTGGTTCGTCGAGTTTGAGCGAGTTCCCTCCAAGGCCAACGTCGCCGACGCAGTCTCCAGAGACGACTTCAGCAGGGCGACGGCCGAGGGATGGCACAGAGTCTCCACGCCGACCGACGAGATACTCTCCATCTTCGCCCGATCGGCGCAGGACCTTGAATATGCCACGACGGAGGCGGCGGACGACCTCCTTCAGCTGGCCAACGGCTTCCACGTCTGAGCCGGCGCGTGGTGGAGAGTCGGTGCGCACGGCGGGTGCAGAATGCGCCCCGGCACCGACTCGTCGTTTCAGCCTGTTGATTCGCCGAACGGCGTGCTACAGCGCTGCTACCACACGACGAAAAAGAAGTCCTGATTCGTCGCAGTGCTCAGTTTGGTTCAACGTCGGGCAGAGTGCGACGGTTGTTGTGAAACACACGTGTGTGTGCAGTAACAACCGTTAACGACGGCCGTCGCTAGCACTCTGGCTCGACGAGTTCAAAGATTTTACCCACCCTCACCGCCCAGTTTTATTTTCGCGTTTCGGCGGAGGGCGAACGACAGCGGGCCGGGTGCAGAATGCGCCCCGGCACCGACTCGTCGTTTCAGCCTGTTGATTCGCCGAACGGCGTGCTACAGCGCTGCTACCACACGACGAAAAAGAAGTCCTGATTCGTCGCAGTGCTCAGTTTGGTTCAACGTCGGGCAGAGTGCGACGGTTGTTTATGTGCTTTTTGGGCCCTTGTCGAGTGGCAGGTAGGTTTGCTATTGGGTAGTCTATCATGTCAGTACCTCATGCACGCATGTAAAGATTATTCAAAACTGAAGTGGCGGAATCCGACATGCCTCGGACATCGATGGAACATTGTCCGCTGCCTGCAGCAGGCTCTTGGTGTTGATGCCAGCAGCAATCCTTGACAGGCTTAGGCGGTGAAGACTGCAACAGTCAGAAAGACAGTCTTTGGCATCAGGGTTTCGGCTTCCTTGTTCAGATAAGGGTTTAGGGTTTAGGCATATGCATAGTCCAGGTGTAAACGGTTAATGGATTTGGGGTTGCTTTTGTTTTCAGGGTTTCCATAGGATCCGAAGCAGTGGGTTCTTGACCCTAGGCTGCTACTCGTGGTGGCTCAGCTGTGTTCCGGTGTGGACCTCATCGCGTTCGGAGAGGTGCAGAGCGCCCTTTGCGGCATAGGCCGGGAAAGTTCGATATCTCGAAGATCAGAGCATCAACCTACAGTACATTTGGTCGGAAAGTTAGCGGAGAATTGACAAGTTGGACAGGCTTCTCAGGTCCTCACACCTTGGCTTCTCCTGACGACTCTCGCAGTGGGAGGCAATTCTCTCTCTATTCTCTGTATCCCTGGGTCTTTTGGCACTATCTCACCTTCCGCGAGGTGTCTAGACCATGTGGATCTGGGTGATCCGAAGAAACATGCTTCCTCAATAGGTCGAGAGGGCTTTTTGAGGTATGTTACTGTATAGAGCGAAATCCTACGGACTTCGTAGAGGTTCCTGGATCTAGCACATAAACTGGCATGTGTTTCATAGGTTCCATAAGTAAATAGAAGTAGAACTGCATACTTGTTAATTACTTGCCTCATGTGTGACCCTGCTTACTCAGTCCCGCGGCCCCTTAAGTGTAGATGTTTCAGGGGGTGTGGGGGCTTTTGTGCTGTTTTTGGTCAAGGCATAGTGTTTTTGTTTGGAGCTTTGAGGGCTTCATTGTATTGTGACTTTGTGTTCTGCGTGTAGGGGGTTTATCGCCATGGTTCGGGGCCTAAACCCCGGAATCCTCGCTGAGGTTTGTCCGAGAGTGAGTGCTGAAACCGGTTTAGGGTTTAGGGTGTACGGTTTGGGGCTTCTACACAGGAATTCAGCGGGTCCAGAAGCTGTGCCGGGCCGTGAGGATGGGTCATCTTCATACTCTCGCCGTCCTTCTACACGGTATCTTGGCTCCGGGAGCCGGCTTAGAGTTAGGGTTTAGGGGTTAGGGTTTACCGTGACATGGGGTGCTGATCTCGGCCTTAGATGATTCGGCATTCCAAGACAGGGTCGCTGTTGCTTTGGGTGCCCTTCTGACCATGTGAACGCTTTTCCTATACGCTCCTCAAGAGGAATGGTAATGCAGAGAAAGCTATTTACAAGCAGATTTAGATTTGGCTGCTTAGCTCCCAACCTTAAACCCTAAACGCTAGGACTGTTACCCGGCCTAGTGACTCGCTCAGCAATGCAGAAGGCAAAAGAGCCCTAGGACTGATCCCGCGATAGCACGATCAGACAGCGGCTGAGGCTCAGGAAGAAGGTCGGGTTATGTACGGGGTTGAAAGCCAGTGATGCTGAAATCGGCACTCGTGTCGTTCATGACTGTTGATACAGGCACATGTCGTGAGAATGCGCTACCATCACCAGCAAACGCGAGGACGACTCACATACAGTACATTCTGGTTGTTTCTACCATGGCCCCACAGCTACGTTTAACTGTCACATGGGTTGTTTCTACAAGAGTCTCTGCTTCCGAAAGCGGAGCTAGAATCCTTGAAACGACGCATTCAAGTTGAGCTCCGTATGCTTGCAGCAGATGCGGTTGACTCCTGATTCGTAGTTCTCCGAGAGATATCTGCGGGGCATCTAGCAACTCGCGAGCGACATCCAATACACTTAAACCTTGAATGCTAAGCCATGAACCCGAATCCGTCATAAATACTAAACCCATCAGTCGTTCTCGACCGTGAGTCCTTAAACCCAATAAGGGAGTTGCCGAAAATAGGGGACCCTAATATAGAACCCTAACTAGTCGGATCCTTATTAAAAAGGACCTTAAAATAAGGTACCCCTCCATTTTCGGGAACTCCCATAAATTTCAAGCCATAAAGGTAGAGCGCATCTTGCCCATCTACCTCTTTGAGGGGCTCGAGCCGCTACTTGGACCGATGGGCCTGGGGAACTGGGCTGTTAGAACTCTAACTCCTAAACCCCGAAACCCTAAATCCTAAACCCTAAACCCAAATCCTAAACCCCGAACAGAGTCAGTGCTGAAAGTCGAAGTGAGGTTTTTGGGGATGTATCGCTTGGCGGCCTCGGGCCCCAAAGCTCAGAACTTACATGCAAGTTCTAGCATGAGGGCACGGGCTGTAGGAGCGACGATCATCTGGGTGCTCTGTGCATGTTGCTTCTCTGTGTTGAGATCAGTCCGTGACTACCTCTCTTGTCGCTCAGCTTGCAGCGCGCTGTCAAGCTACGAATGCCATGCCGCCCTTATGGATTACACTACATATTAGACTACATGATACATCAGTAGTATTAATATTCTTACCCCAGAGTCTTAGGGCAGATCTCAATCCAAGGCCTGTGAGGCAGGCTGTTTGCGACGGCTTCCTGCAGAAGAAAGGGGTCAGCGTCCTGGCCGGATCGCTGCTTAAAGCTTTCGGTTTGGGGGTCACCGTCGGGGGTCAATGATCTTGCGGAGATCGTAGTTTCGGCTTGACAGCTGCTGAGTTTCGGGCTTTTTGAGGCTGGATGCACTTGTCTGATCAAGCGGGAAGCTCTGCAAGAATAGAGTAGAAGCCAGAAAGTCGGAACATCATTAATTATCCTCGTGCCCTTAAGTCAGAGTATAGGGAATCCCAGCACTGCGCATCCTAATCCATGTTCCAACTTTCTCGGGCGCACTGTACTATGACATCGCCCATGCCCCACTTTCTTCGGTTAGGACCTCTGAGTGGGAAGGTATTCGTCGATATGGGTGGTTGTCAAAATTAGGGTCCCTTTTTGGGTATCCTAAATAATAGGTGCCGTATTATACTAAGGACCCCAAAAGGGACCTTAATTTTGACAACCACCCATATAGAAACTTCAGGGTTGAATGCCATCAAGGTTGAATATGCTGCCGCATCTTGTGCCCCATCCCGAAAACCCCGAGCCCCGCAGACCCCATCGACACTCTGCGGTGTACTTAGTCTGATGTGGTCTAATGGCTTCCCAGGTTTAATTGCTGATGACAGTCGAGCTGAGGCTGTCAACTGCCCGCTTCACACGGACAGTCTGTGGGTGTGTTTGGCGCCGTGACGGGCTTGACCACATTCTTGGCAGCTGCGCGGCTTCATCTAGCCACGATATCATTCTCGACTTCCTCCGTGCTAGCTTATTTTTACTGAGAAGCTGAGGACATGAAGAAATCGTACATCTTTTTGCACTCGGACGTGCAGCTGGTGATGCTTGCATTGGCGATACGAGTCATCACCCTGTTTCAGCTGGAGCTTAGGGCGGGCAAGGCCATGCAAGGAACTCGGCGGCAAGCTGACGAAGTATGCAGAATTTGTTGCTGTGCTCTTGAGCATCTCTCGCAACCAATGCTGCCAGGCAGCCGACGGCAGCGCTTCATTTGTCGTCTTGCTTTGGCATTGGTCGTATCTCAGCAGCAGAAACATGGAGCCTTGTGTGGCCACGACGCTTCAACTCCAGCTCTCTTTTGTTCTGAAGCCGCGGACTTAGTGTGTTTAGGAGTCCACCACGGCAGCAGTCTCCACCTCGAGCTACGACCACTCCTACCGCTTGTACTGTTAGTTGTGCTGCAAATGCTACTGGTGCCGACACCGCGGTTAGCACTACCACTACTACTACTACCACCACCACCACGACTACTACTACTGCTACTACGACGACGACGACTGCTACTACTACTACTACTACTACTACTACTACTACTACTACTACTACTACTACTACTACTACTACTACCACTACGACTCCTCCTCCTCCTCCTCCTCCTCCTCCTCCCGCCGCTGCTGCTGCTCCTGCTGCTGCTTTTGCTACCCCTAACAGTACCACTGCCATTGCCGCTGCATCTACCACTACTACTGCTAGTCCACACCAACCACTATGAATACTACTCCTACCGTTGCCCGCCATCCCCTTTCCATGGTCTCCCCTGGGTCATGGCACCCAATGTGCAGCTAGCATGCAAGTCACTGGTGTCGAACGGTATGTTGCCGCCACTCTGTACTGATCGTATGAAGGCTGAACAAGAGTAATGCAGGGGCCTGAACAGTTGCCAACGGTATTCCTCGGGGCTCCTTACTATACCTGTACTTCAGCATGCCCGAAACACCTATTCTCTTTGTTCAGGCCCTTGTAGTACCCCTATAGTACCCTTAAAGGAACCCTTTCAAGGAACCCGACTTTCGTCATTAAGGCCCCTATATATTGGCTTTTCCCGGAGCTGTGGAACTGAAGCCCTCGAGCCCGGCAAGAGCATGGAGCCATGCGGTATGTAACACAGAGCAGTCGAAGATCAGAGACGTCTTGCTTAAATGAGAAGACCTACCCCCCAACTCTGAACCTGAAACCTTATGAAACCTTGTGCCTCAAAGGCCCTAACTTTGGCATTCAGGCTAGCTTCTTTATACTCACCATCCCTCTGGCGCCCAACGCTGGCACTGAAGAGTGGATGACGCCTTAGAGATTGCAGCAGCGCCGGGGACGGTTTCTTTGAAGCTGCGAAGAAGGCAGTCGATTGGAGAAAGAGGTTGCCTAGGCCGGCTTGAGGCATCACTCTGTCGAAGGGGTCGTCCAAGTGTTGAAGTTTACGTGGTTCGAGAGGGTTGAATGGACTTTGGGCACATGTTCACTGGCCCTTGGGTATCTTGTCGAAAGCCGCCCGCAGCCGGCAAATCTCATGCAAGCGGTGCTAGTAAGCACGATGTTGAGTAAATACAGGCCCAAGCAGTATGTGCCAAGATGCTCAGTAGCAACATGGGGCATGTCGCAAGTTCGCAGTCGGAGAGGTTCAGCCCGATTTCACAGGGGAGGTACGTGAATGACCGCCCACATGTAGTCCCGTTCTATCTGGGCCGACAGTACGCCCATCCTTGGGCATGTCTGGGGCTGGGAGTCCCTGCTTTCTGGATGTGCCTGACGAAGCAGCCCATATTGACCACAAAATGTCAGGCATGTTCGGTTTTGCCATGCTTAACGCCGTTGGCTCCAGGGAGTGTGTTGCCGAGAAGTGGGAGTGAAATCGGCCAAAGGACTGAGCATAGCGATGCCGACCGGCGTGCTTGTTCAGTTCACGGATGAGGAGCCCAAATCACAAACCCCTACAGCCCTTCACCCCAGACACCGCCTCCAAAAGCCGACTTGGACCCTAAACTGCCCCCCCTAAGCGCTGCACCCAAAAGGCCCATGAGGCCGATATCCCACGAGGAGTCGTTGTCCAGCGACTGCCACCCATCGCCTTCAGATGTGGAGCACTATGACTCTGCCAGCTCGGTCAACACCGGGAGCCCTCTGAGTGAGTTCTGCTTCCTTTGGGATTTAAAAGCTTAGGGTCTCGGGTGCAAGAAGGGTATAGGGTATTTGTCAAAAAGATTTGTTGTTGACATGTTTGAAGCTTTGTAAAGTCGGATACTGACTGCATGTTGCGGCTGTTTGCGATTCTGCATAGTCGCAGTGTTATTGATGCAGTTGCGAGCTCAGGCGCCATGTTTCCCAATCGATTTTGGTTCACACTTTTTCCGAAGCCATCATTTACATATTGGGCAATATTGCGAATCCTCCTTGTTCTCGTTTTGCTGTGGTTACCCGATTACCCTACCCGCCAGGACACAACCTACGCCGTGCGCAGAGGCAGTCTCGAGCAACGTGAGCACCGCCGCCTTCCAACTCTCTAAGCCAGACGTTGAGAACCGGATCCAGGAGCTCAGTGCACGATATGGGGTTCCGCTCTACTAGGGATCCTCATAATTACTGGATCCTCATATGGGCCTCAACGAATGCTGCCGTAGTAATGTCTCAAGGGCCAACGAGGAGTCCCAATCGCCGGCAACTTGTACTTTGTCACTGCCCGACATGAAAAGCCTGTGGGCATTGCTGCGGCAGGCTTTTTGTGACAAGTCTGTCCTCCCCCAATTGATTTTGGTGCATCGAATCATACTCTCACGAGTTTGCTGGCACGGCTCCGATGCTGCTGTGCTTCAGGGTCATGCGGGAGCTTCACAAATCAAAGGAGCCCCTAGTTTGTCAGCGTGGACCTCCAAATAGGGATTGAGCACTACGAAGGCTTCGACGATCAAATGACCACAATGACCAACACAAGCACGACCACCAGAAGCACGACGACCACAAAGACCATCAAGAGACTACTGGAGGCCAGTGGAGACCACGGGGACACCACGGCCAAACTGCTTCCCTCAAGTAATTACTCGGAAGCAGTGCCCAAATGCTGCCAAAGTATTGGCGTTCTGGTGCACGACCTACTGGCGGGATTCAGTGTTTTCGAGACCAAAGGTTTCCCATGCGTTGGAAATTACACTGAACCTGGCTCTCCTCGAAACAGTCTCCAGCAGATCCTGTGTGCATGATTTCTCGAATAGAACGCGAGCCCAAACTACGTGCCATGCCCGGCGCCAACCGCCTCCCGACCTCAACCAATGCTCTTTACCCAGAGGCCCCATAGTAGTTCCTTTTTGGGGTTCATATATAGAATCCTATAAGGTATCCCCAAAAGGAACTACTATGGGGCCTCTGGGTAGTCCTACTGTCATGTGAGAACCTCTTGGCCTCGGTATGTACGACACTTCTGAAGGAGGTTGTTAGGATCGTTGTTTCGAAGATCCCAACAGCGTCTCTCAGTTTAACGAGACCCCCCACGAAAAAAAACACCCCTGAGGAGGCTCCGTGCAGCAGGTGCCTCAGCATTTGGACCTGGGGTACCTGTGGCCTACCTCTCGGGGGCTTCTTCCTCGCGTTCCTAAACTCGGCTCCTCGGAATCATAGGAGGCCAAAAGGGGTTTTAGCCTATGGCGGTTTGGTAGGGAATAAGGTTCATATGAAGGAATCCCTACCCCAAGAATCTTAAACCCCCCTTTTGGCCTCAATCATCGGAAGCTTCGGGCTCTTTTTAGAGGGCTTAGGGGTTTTTGGGCCTTACTACCTTGATATAACAACAAGGGTAGAGGTATCGATTTCGAACAAGCCAGGCTTCATCCAGCCTTGTCTACGGCTTCTTCCTTGGATACATGGGGTTGGATGCGTATGTTTTGCTGTCCATCCAAGCGCTTATGAAGCTTCCACAAGTGTTGCTTCTTCCTTTTGGCATGATGAACGACTGCCTGCCGATTTTCGGTTACAACAGAAAGCCGTATTTCGTGGCATCCTGGATCATCTGCGGCAGTGCGCTGTTGATCATGAGCCTACGGCCCCTGCCTGCGCCCTACTACTGCCAAAAGGACGATGGCAGCTACGACGTGATGTCGCCACCATGCAACCCCAGCATCCATGACGAGAAGAACTGGTATGTTTTCCCACTCTTCATCCTTACTGCAGGTGTTCAGCTGGGAGTTGTGGCTGGGGAGGGCCTCCTACTGGAGTACTCTCAACAGGAGCCTTTGGAGTGCCGTGGGAAGATGAAGGCCGAGTTCACAATGGTGACTATGGCAGGCTCCCTTGTTTCCTCAGCAGCTGTTGGGGTCTTCATGAATGGAAAGGAATATCTCGGCACCTTTGACTGGGGCCTGTCTTTCAGTGGCTTCATGACAATGTGCCTGCTCATAGTCACCTTCCTGATCCCGATCTGCTTACTTTGCGTTCACGAGCCCAAGAAGTCCACCAGACCGTCCTGCTGCACACATGTTAGAGGCTCTTGGACTCTGGTCAGCAGCTATCAGCTTCTTTGTTGTTGTTGCTGTTGCTACGGCAGTAGCAGCAGTAGTAGTAGTAGTAGCAGTAGTAGCAGTAGTAGCAGTAGTAGCAGTAGTAGCAGTAGCAGTAGCAGTAGCAGTAGCAGTAGCAGTAGCAGTAGCAGTAGCAGTAGCAGTAGCAGTAGTAGCAGTAGTAGCAGTAGTAGCAGTAGCAGTAGTAGCAGCAGCAGCAGCAGTAGTAATGGTAGTGGTAGTGGCTGTGGTAGTGGTGGTAGTAGTAGTAGCAGTAGTAGTAGTAGTAGTAGTAGTAGTAGTAGTAGTAGTTGTTGTTGTTGTTGTTGTTGTTGTTGTAGTTGTTCTTGTTGTTGTTGCTGTTGCTGTTGCTGTTGTTGTCGTTGCAGTCGTTGTTGATGCTGATGTTGTTGTTGTTGTTGTTGTTGATGTTGTTGGTGTTGTTGTCGTTGTTGTTGTTGTTGTTGTTGTTGTTGTTGTTGTTGTTGTTGTTGTTGTGGTTGTTGGTTGTTGGTTGTTGGTGGTTGTTGTTGTTGTTGTTGCTGCTGCTGTTGCTGTTGTTGTTGGATGTTGTTGTCGTCGTCGTCGTCGTGGTCGTTGTCGTTGTCGTTGTCGTGGTGGTTGTTGTTGTTGTTGTTGCTGTTGGTGTTGTCGTTGTTGCTGTTGGTGTTGTCGTTGTTGCTGTTGTTGTTGTTGTTGTTGTTGTTGTTGTTGTTGTTGTTGTTGTTGTTGTTGTTGTTGTTGTTGTTGGTGGTGGTGGTGGTGGTGGTGGTGGTGGTGGTGGTGGTGGTGGTGGTGGTGGTGGTGGTGGTGGTGGTGGTGGTGGTGGTGGTGGTGGTTTTGTTGGCGTTGTTGCTTCTGCTGTCAAGATCAAGCTTGTCGTTGCTGCGCGATGCTGTTTGTTTTAACGTTGTAGTTGTATTTGCTGCGGCGGCAGGAAAACAGTCTAGTCATTACACAGCAGTCTAGACAGCAGTAAGAGTAGCATCAGACAGCGCGAGCATCACGAGCAACACTGGAAGTAGTCAAGTATGGATGACCTCATGTCAGTAGCAGTGGTCTTTAAGTCTTTGTGGTAGAACTGGCATGACCAGCAGTATGTCTACCCACCCTTGCAGTGGGGGCAAACCCGAAGCCTGGGCCTCGGCTCAGGAAGCTGGTTCGAAACAAAGGGCTTTCAAGCGTGCTGCTGTTTGCCTTCCTCGCCCAGTTCTTCAGCACCATCACCACAACGGCAGGATCGAATTTCCCAACCCTTGTCACTGTGCAGGGAAGTAGAGGGGGAGGGTGCGTTTAGGGTTCAGGAGCGGGGTGCGCAAGGACCCATGGTGCGAAGCCAGTGGGCCGGCGTGAAGGTCTTGCAACAGCAGCTGTTTGCCATGGGCAGCATGCTGGTCATGATTGTAGCAACCTGGGTCTACAAGGTGCATCTCGGTCCGCCTGGCACAAGTTTTGTCTTTCGATTGCTGCGAAACCACAGCAAAAAAAACAATGTAGGCGTCCCCTCAATTTGCAAAGCGTTTCAAGGTACCTCCTCCAGACGTGTTGGCGGAAAGCGATCTTCATTGCTATCGTTACGGTGACAATCATAGACTCCGTCCCGACCTTCCTCACAATCTTCGGCATTGTACGTGACCAGTACTTTTTCCTTGGGGAGGAGATTGCCAGTGCCGTGCCCACTACGGCGCTTGCATTGATTTACAGCCTGATGGTCATCGAGCTGGCTGAGCCTGGACAAGAAGGTCTTTGCTATGGCCTGATCGGAACGGTCCAGCATGCCAGCCTGCCCATTGCCACCGCCCTGAGCAACCAAATCTTCGGTCTCTTCAAGCCCTCTTTGTCCTTGCTGGAGAACTATGTCACCGACACACCAGCTTTCCGATCAACGGTAGCTTGGTCCTACGTGCTGACCTATGCTGCGTCCTTGCTCGGCATGTGCGCACTCCCTTTGGTCCCACGGCAGAAAGCAGATGTCCAGAGGCGCAAGAGAGACCCTCGGTTCCGGACTCTGCATGCATTCTTTCTTGGATTTGTGCTTGAGCTTGAGCTCTATAGTGTCGGGGAAACTAAAGTTTCATGAAACATCTCCATCTTACCTCATACTTGTACTTGGCAGCCAGGAGTGGAGTTCCAGCTCAATCATGGCCATCTTGGTCTTGGGCATACCTGCTCTTTGCTTGCCCTACGGTGTTGTCGTCTTGCTCCTCAGCAGTCAACCACAAACGGCCTGCTTGCGCTGGGTGGGCGGCCAGGGCTGCGACCACCTGAACTGATTTGGCAGCCTTTGAGGGAGAGGACGAGCAACTGTTTAACTGAGAAACACCGAGTTCCCTGGAAAGAGTCTTTTCAGCCGACTCTTCTACTTTTGCTGGCGGAGGCCAGGACGCGATTGGCAGCAACTGCAGGGTCCGACCGGGGGAGGTCAGGACATCCGGGGCCATGCAGCTGCCAGTCCGCATGCAGTGAACCTTAAAAAGTTGGAGCATGGGCCGAGGATGATTGGTGCTGGAACTCCGTAGAATATAATTTACCTGAAGGGCGTGAGGAGAGCACTGCTCCAACTTTCTGGCTTCTACTGCACATTCTCCGAAGCAGCGCAGAGCAAGTGCAGGTAGTCGTGTTTGGAACTGTGCAGTCGCTGCTGTTTAGTCCGGCAAGCCCAGGGGCATTTTTATGTGGGCAGCACACCGCGCCAGGTCTGGGGATGAATGTCTGAGGTGTACTACTATTTGCTTAAGAAGCCCCCAAAAAATAATAATCCCTATATTACCCCCAGAAGAAATATATTTTTTATTTTTTGGGGGCTCTTAAGCAAATAGTAGTGTAGGGTTTAGGGCAGCCAAGAGGACCAGTATGGGCCCTTCTTTCTGTCACGGCTTCCTAGCCAATGTTTCCATGCTCCAGCATAAGAGCTGGTGTGCGCACGGCCCCCTTTTAAGCCGGTACACGTCTTCTGGCTGCAGACTGGAGCATTCTGGCTATGTTCCCCAAGGAAGGAGCGCTCTGCCTGAATGTCACGTGCTGTCTGCCGTCCATGGCTCGGGTTTTGATTCTCCACAGCACCTGAAGACACAAGGTCGGGTGCCAACTATCGTGCACATGGCGCACATGCTTCTCTCTGCAAAGCCCAGGGTGCTCTCCGTGTCCTCCTACCCTTGATGTGAGGTTTCAGATACAAGTTTCTCCAGGTTGCCACCTCCACGTATGTACCCGGAGATCGCCTCTCTTTTGAGCATGCCATGGCAGCCAGCCGTGGGTCGGAGGTGATCCTCCGTCTGTAAAACTCGTCCGACCTTATCGGTGGCTCCGGTCTTGATGTCGTGATGTCTAGCAAGACCGGTGGTCAGGCTGCGAACGCTCACCCTCTTTGAGCGAGAGGCTCCAAGATGAGGGATTCGCAGACATGTCAAATACGCAGTTCATTTGGATGAGCTCCTTTATTTCCGCCTTGCTCTTGAGTGTCCATGCTGGAGGCTAGGACGCGGTTGGCAGGCACAAAAAGTCTACCGGCCTCCCATGTCGGAGGCCCGGACCCTGAAGCTGCCAGTCAGCATTCGGCTTCCAAAGAAGCTTAGATAGGTAAATGGACGCCACTCGATGGAATTCAGATGCAGGCCAAAAAGGCTAAGGAGATGCCTTGCGCGGCCGCACTGTTATTGATGGTGGTCTACATTTGTGCTCTCTCCTGAGATGACGCCACAGGCAGTTTTCCATACACAGCCTACAGGGCTTGTGTGATCGCGCAGCGGCCCCTTTACTGTTCATAAGATTTTTCTTTCTGGTGTCACTCTGTGGCATGAAAGAAGCATGGCCGGCAGCTTGCTGCCCTTTTTCACGAGATTTTTGCAGACTGATGTCTATGTACAGCCTAGGTCTTCTCTATAGCCCTTGAAGACACAAGGTCCTGTGCTGAATTTTGCATGAACATCTTTGGCACAATTGTCTAGCCCTGTACAGAGTTGCATTTCGTGTCGGCACTTTGGAGCTCCCATCTTGCAGTTTCTACGATCTTGGCATACTGGCTCTTACAGTGCAAGCAACCTTTTGCAAATGTGCAGATGCGGAAGGCACACGTGCCAGTGGCAACCAGCCAAGACTCCGACGAAACCACCTGCTAATTGATAAAAAGGTCATGCTCACGGCTGCAGCCCACATAGCTGCTACGAGCCGGCATCCATTTCTGAGCGCCATGAACCTCGAGTCTGCGTGTGCGACCGCAAGAGAATATTATACTTGACAGGTACCCGGCTAGAGTACACCTACTATAGGGGCCTAAATAAACTACCCATACTATTTTGGGGGCTCTTGATTATGAAAATAGTAGAATTCGCCCCAAAACCCTGTTCTAATTACTAAGGCCCCTGCATTTAAGTCTTCTTCGGATAATATGGGAGTTTCCGAAAACTAGGGGTACCTTATTTTGGGGTCTTTATAATAAGGATCCTACTATTTCGGGTGCAATATTAGGGTCCCCTAGTTTCGGAAACTTCCATATTGAAGTAGCCAGCTGCCTGGCTCCAGCATGCTCCAGCCATGGGATTTCTGAAGATGGCCTTCTATCGGTGTCAGAAGACCACCTAAGTTTAGGGTTTAGGAGGACCTAGGAAGAAACCCTAAACCCTAAACCCAGAATATCTACCAGCCGCAGTCGCAGATTTGATAGAAGTTGCAAGAGCGCGCCTTTAGGGTATCCTTGGCTGGACATGGGAGTGCGATCGAGCTGCTGCGCGGAAGAAGACCTGGCGGAGGGCCCAAAGGATTCTTAAACGTTGATTTCTGCATCGCAAATGTCTAGCATTGAAAACGCCGGTTAGATTGAATGATCAGTAGAAACAGTAAGTTTGACTTTGCATGAAAGCTTTATGGGTCCTGTTGTCCTTTCTACTCGTCGTGTGTTTGTTTTCTTCATTGCTAGTCACGTTTACTTGCGACGATTGTTCTTGCTTCTTAAGTACTTGCAGTAGTGCTTTGCAGTGCGTTGGACTTAGGGTGAGGTACGGTTTTCCCTGCAATGGCTTCCTGCATTCCGCGGAGCATGTATATGTCTCCGCCCGGCGGAAGTCAGAGAAGATGCAAACCTGTAAGTAAAGGTTAGTCCTTCCGCTTGTCTTTTTCACGGCCCTTTTCTTCAGTTCCTTCAAGCAGTAAGACTGTAGAAGACTATGGCATGAAATCACTGCCGAATTGTCTGTCGCCGCATGGAAGCACGATGTTCGTGCTGAAAGATTACCTTATCTATCAGAAGGTAACTTATCCCCTAAACCCTGAACCCTAAACCAGTAGGATGCCAGGCGGAAAAAGGTGCTTGCGGAAGACCATAGGAGAGAAAAACATCCCTAAACAGGAGGCGCCGGAGGTCGTGAGCAGCTACACAGACAAGGCTGACTCCTCTGCTCCGTGGGCTGCCTGGCCGAAAACCTTCAGACCTCTCAGTGCACGTCCGCCTTATCTTACCTTTGGATAGTAGGGAATGGAGGAATGGGGTACAATTATAACTACTTTTACTATCATTCTTCCATTCCCTACTAACGAAAGGTAAGTTATGTATGTCCGCATTAAAGAGTTTTGCATGCTACTGAGTCCTGGTCAGGTCAAGAATATTTCGCTGCAGGAAGTGGGGCCGAGGGAGTTGGGGGCTGCGAACACACAGGATCCATCAGCCTCGAGAGTGCCCAGCAGCTTGGCAGAGTGCTCTTGAAGTCCTGCAGATTACGGGTGGGATTAGGGGGCTCATCGCATGTCAGCGAGCCATAACGAGGCAAGTGGAGCCGATTGCAGCACATGCGACACCTTGAGGCGCTCGTCCGTGTGCATACTAGGCTGTTCGGCTTGGGGTCTCGAGCACTTCGCATGGTATGAATATGCAGGGTACGCCTTGCCTAAGGTTAGCTTCAGACGCTCAATCTTGAGACAGATTCTGGTAACTAGTTACACGTACCCGTAACCGCAAGGCTGAATCATGAAAGCTTGATGGGGAAGCTGCAAACGGTCAGCTTCCGGAGGGCTCTTGAGTCATTCTGAGAATCATCGGAGCCACATCCAGCAGGTGGATGCAGAGATTTTGCGTGGCATTCCGCTGCAGGAGCGAACCTTGGAGTTTGATGTGGGGAAGTGGAAACAGTGTTTGGATGAAGTCCGAGTGGTCTAGGCAGCACCCACATTCCACATAAATCCTAAACCCTACCCTAAACCCGGAACCCTAAAGACTGTTTGGAAAAAGGAGCCCCCCCAAAAAAAAATAAAAATAAAGACTTATCTTCGGCTCTGCAGAAGCTCAGGGTGAAGCCAGAAAGCTACAAACGCATCTTGACCCGACAGATGCTTCCGCACTGTAGCGATCCTTGCCTTAGAAGCAATCCCCGACTCCCCCCGAGGGTATCTCCCGCTGCTGCTCCTCCTACACTACAGCAGGAGCAGTAGCAGTAGCAGTAGCAGTAGTAGTAGCAGTAGTAGTAGTAGTAGTAGCGGCAGCAGCCGTCGCAGCATCCCTGGCCGTTGCCGTAGCACAGCACTAGCAAAAGCAGCAGGCACATCTGCAGCAGCAGCAGCACCAGTAGCGGCAGCAGGCAGCAACAGCACCAACAGCAATAGCATTACTAGCACAGTAGCCACAGCAGCAAAAATAGCCTCACCAGCAGTAGGCATGCTAGTCAGAGAAACACTGTAAACCCTAAACCCGTAAACTCTAAACTGATCAGGAAGGCAGTTTCCGAGTAGCATTGTTGAAGGTATCTCTGCGTGCCCTTGGCAAGCTCTGGCGGCGCTCGCCCGTGGACCTTCCGGAAGAGGCCGACTCCCGGTTTAGGGTGCAGCATATCTTCAATGCCGAACTTCGAAAAGCTGTGACCCGTCCTCTGATATAGGGGCCTAAACAATTGCCAATAATTACTATTTGGGTGGTTCCTTATTAGTTATAAGTATGGCATAATAATGCCCCAAAACCCTATTCTAATTATTAAGGCCCCTTCATTATCAGCCATTTGCAACTCATCAGGCCCGCAGAGGTCTCTACGACCACGCCGCTCCTGTGAAGGGCTTCGATGTCTTCCTGTCCCACACCTGGATGAGCCCGGGGAGGCCGGGTGGTTATGGAACGGGGTCTATCTCTTAGAGTAAACATTGGCTCGCTCGTGTTTATGGGAAAGTGGCACCCTAAACCCCAAAACCCTATAAACCCTAAACCCATAAACCCAAAGGCCCTAAACCCATAAACCCCAAAATCCCTAAACCCCAAAACCCTATAAACCCTAAACCCATAAACCCAAAGGGCTCT